TTGTAAAAATTTTATTAATAAATTGTTAAGTAATAAACGTCGAAATCAGCTATAATTTCAAATGATCAGTAAATGATTGGCAAGTGGTCGGATATTTTTTGGAGGGAAGTGTACAGCCTATAAATATTCTCATTTTGTTGCACATAATATGACTAGAGTTCTACAAAATTGAAAAATCTATCCAAACTAAAGCTACAAAACAACAATCTTGCTTCATTGAACTAATGAATCCAAAGCCATGTATCCGTATTTCAATCTTTTCATATAGCTCTAATGAATAAAATCAATTACGACTGTATTGCTAATTCTTCACTTGATAAGTAGCCCACCTCAACTCAGATTATTTCTTGAAAACTTCTTAAATTCAAATTCAATCAATAGACTAATAAGCGCTTATTTCAAGAATGTAGAAACGAACGTATCCTATGAAGCGTTTGAAATGTTTGTAAATGGAAGACCAAAATGTGTAATTTATCCTAATAAGCATGACATTGGAAAGCTTGTTCAGAAAATTCAGTAACGAAATAAAAGTTTTAAAGCCAAAAATATCTATAAAATGATAAATAAACTTTAATATTCTAAATTATTAAATGAGTGGCTAAGATTAGTTCTTAAGAGTCAAGGAATTAATCTTGTTTTAACTTACTATACTTATCGATGTATTACAGTTTAATACAAATTACGATAATAGTGACATATTTAGAATTTGATATAAAGCTTTTTGATTTATCAATGGTTATATTACATATTTTTGAAATATGACATGTTTTTCTCATTATACTTTTCTAGTCGAGTTAGAAAGTTGACAATAAAGTTGATCGCTTTAATTGGTTAATTCAACAATTATAAAACATTATTTTTCAATTTTAAAATAACTCTGCAGGTATTACTTTTAAAAAGGAAATTATCATGCTGATATTAAGGTTTGCTTGCAACCGCTAATTTGTAAGGTTGTGAAGAAAGTGAAATTTTGATATGAGATACAAAAGAATCGATAAAGTTATAAAGAATAAAGAATTATTTTTTTTTTTTTGTCCTTTTGTTTATAAAAAAATAAAAAATAAAAATAAATAAATTTATAAAATAATAAAATAAATGTAATGATGATTTTTTAGGCTATTTGATTTTTATGGGTGTCAGGCACGACGTTTATATTGTGGTATTTAAGTATTTGATTTTTGATTAATATACATATACCGTATATATATATATATGTTTTTTTATAATAATTCGTAACTTTATTTTCTTCTAATAAAACTTCTTTAACACGCGCGAATTTTTTGTAAGCAGAATATCACGAAAATTTGCATCATTAGCATATTTTTTTTTTTAATAAAATTTTATTGTCGCGAAAATAACATTTATATCACCCTTTTTTCAAAACTTTTTTAAATCTAATAATTTTTTATTAATTTTTTAGAATCAAAATTTAAGTAATATTATAATTATTAAATAAAATTCACCGGCATAGTATATTAATATCAAATTCGGATTCGAATTAGAGTTTATATCCATTCATCCGGATATCCGATTAACTTGTATCTGTTTCAATCTGGATATCCAGATAATTTATCCGGATAATATCCAGATATCCAAGATATTAACCGGATATCCTAAATTATCCGGATATCCAGGATATCTTTTGAATAAAAATTTTATTTAAGGTTTTTTTTTTCATAATTGATAATTTAATTTAATTTC